ATTACTGACCTCTGTCATCATTTTAAGTGGGGGAACTTGCACAATCGGTGGCTGACTAAATACTTTTTTGCCCCACTGTACGTATTTGCACTGTGTGTACTTCACAGGGTTTTTTTTTTGTTTTTTTTTTTTTAAATCTGTGACACCTTTTGAAACCATTTTCACAGGTTTTGCAGGTTACAACTTCTAATGGCTCAGTGGATCTTAAATGATGATCCAAGCGGATGGTAAAAATATTTATTTTAGTCCTTTACCTCACTGCACAGACATTTCCCAAATTCTAAATCATTTAGTAGAATTAGAAAATAAAGTGAGTCTGAGCTAACCTCATTCCTGTCTTCACATTTCTGAGGTACATCTGCAGAGCAGCTCACCGGGATTCAAATCATTTGTCTCTTGGACTAAAAGAAGTAGGCTTCAAGGAGAACATCCTGCACTTATAAGGCTTCTCTTCATGCTGTCCTCTTTAAAGAAAAAGCTGGTGTTTCACTCCTGTTAGCTGCAGACCTGCAGGCTTAACAGACTTTTCTGTGCTGGTAACAGGTAACCTCTGTTGCTTTCACCACTTTTCAGCCTCAAAAGTCCCCAAATCACTCGAAGTTAGTGAAGGTTATGAAAGTTGGCTGCTTCTACACTTGAGAAGCCCCATCCATGTGCTGTTAAAACCGTCAGTCTGCAAGTAAAATGTTTTGATTTCAAATAGTCAATCTATTAAATTTCAAATGCTGCCATTCATTCTTGTTTAATTGTCAAGTTTTGTGACGTAATCAGACAGTGCTGCCAGATTGTGAGCTTTTCCCTCCCCTTGTTATTAGAAATGTGTGTGACATGACATGAGCCTACACATCACTCTATTTTTATTTATGTTCTTTGCTTCGACTAATATTTATATTCTTTTAAAAAGTATTTATTTAGGACTGCCTTTTTAAATTTTTAATGCAATTACTACAGCCTCACTTTAATGTTACTATTTTGTTTTTTGTTTTTTTAGGTTTCTCATTTTTACTAAGCATACTATTTATATGGTATTTTAAATTACTGAATATTTGTTTGCTTTTCTTACTTTTTCTTCTAATCATCTGCTTATAATTGCTTCACAGATGAAAGACATCTAAACTGACCTGCATATGCAGTAATAACATATTGTTATTGTACCTTACACTAAAAAGTGCCTTGAGGCGACGATTGTTGTTATTTGGCGTTCCACAGATAAAGCGGAATTAAATTGACACCATTGTGACTTCATGAGGGTTGTTTTTACTTTTATTAAGCTCCACCCTTGACTCAAAGACTGTTTTATGAGCTGAATCGTACGCTGTGACTAACTGTACAAAAACAGTGGAGTAGAAATTTTAAAAAAAATAAGCCAACAGATGAGTCACTAATTATCGTGTCCTTCAAAAATAAGCAGCGTTACCTCTGCTGTTGTCTTGTGACGAGTGGGAGGTGTTGGCGGAACCGGTGCTCCCTGCCCTCTCTTCTTGCTCCTCCTCCTCTTCCTCCTCCTCCTCCTCAGCCTCCCCTACTTTTGGCTCAGAACCAAAGGTATTGCTCGGAGCTTCGCTGTTCTCCTGCTGCCTACTTTTCCTGCCGGCCTTATCCACGTCTACATCCTCCAAGGTGCCCATGGGCAGGGCAAAGTGCCAGTCTTCATCATCTTCCTCCTGCCCAAATGAAGGAAGGCCATCCAGCGCATCATCAAAAGCCGCTGCCCCGCTTCCTCCTCGTCCACCTCCCCCTTCGCTGGTCCCCATTTTAAAAGAATCCTGTGGGTCAGAGGTGGGCGAGGCAATGCGAGGAGGTGATGACTCGCCCGCCCCTTTGTCTATCTTTTCTTCTTTCCTGCTGCTGTTGCTATCCTCCTCCTCTTCCTCCTCCTCCTCCTCCATTGGTTGTTGTTCCTCTTGTCCTGAGGTTTGGTCCACTCCCTTCGTCTCATCCTGTCCACCACTCTTGGAAGATGCATTGGAGCCCCTGGAGGAGTCGGCGAAGTCTCCCAGCCCCATCACCTCGTCAAACACCCTGGACATGTGCTCCTCATGCTGCAGAGGAGAGAGATCATTATTATTTCTCATTTCACATCCATATACAACACAACTTTTGACAGATAAGGGCCAAATATGTTCAGTGGAAACATAAAATACATCCTGGATACAACCCCAAATTGGATAATTAGTTAAGAAACTTGATACACACAATCAAAGATATAATTAAGGCATCAAGTGTCATTTTACTTTAACATAAACCAGTTTTCTGACTAAAAACACATATTCTAGAGATAACCAAACATGTAGCATGACTGGCTGCTGGTGTCTTACTCGAGTTAATGCATTTTTCTGTTATTTCTGCCAATCTTGAATAAAGCACAAAGATGTTTTTATAATTCATTAATCTAAAAACATCTAGCAGGGAGTCAGCTCCCAGAGACTCCCATGGTAAGAAAATAAACTCTTGATTATGACTTTAAAAAAGTATGAATTTCTATACAATAGACAATAAAACATCCAAGCAAATAATCATTTTAAAGAAAAATACAAAAAAATCAACGAAAACCTGCCTAAGATGATAACACAGACACATAGGTCAAAATTAAGACCCAAAAAGCATATGGACACCCAGCGGGACCCTCAGAAAACCTGGCCATGAAATCAAAAGTTATCAGACCCGTGGAGCTGTAGCCCAAATCTGATAATTTGACCTTGTAACTGGGACGAAATGTAAAGCTTGATTTTAAGACTTCGCTGGTTTTGTTGGTAAAGACCATAAGACACTTTACAGCACCCACTGAGCCAGCAACCTCTTGACAGCAGTATCTTACATTCACCACAACCAGTGGCCTCTGTGCGCACACACAGGAGCTTCTGTTGTAGTTTGACTATGCCTCAAAGATCTACCTATTGTATGGAAACACACATCGTCAAGGCAGCATGTCCTATTTTTAACCGAGTGTTATGGGTTTGTGGGGAAAAAAACAAAACAGCCTTCCCTGCAAGAAGAGCTTAAGGACACGTGCCGTTTTATCTCAATTACATATTATCAAAACTATTTTTTTGTAAAAATTTACATTTCAACTTTTTAACTAGAATCAAGAGTAAATCATTATATTCTGGAATGAGGATTATGTTGAGCACACCCTCTGCTGGGCTCCAGGCTGAATTGTGGCACATTTCTGTAAATAACAAAAAATAACAGGAACTGAAATGGCTCCCCTACACTGGCAGAGACGTTTTATCTAATCACTCTTAAAAATGCTACCTTCTCATCACTCTCTCTGTGTGAGCGGAGATGTGACTCTCTGAGGGTTTTCTTGATGTTACTCACAGTTATGGACCTTGTCCTGGTCTTTCTGGGTCTGCCCGAGCATCTTACATTCTCAATAACGAGGCCATCATTTTTGAACTTTCTGATAATATATTGAATTGTGGAGGACGGGACATTGATTTGTTTGCTAATCTGACGAACAGAGTGTCCCAGTGTGTGCAAATAAACAATGCATATTCGTTTCTCTGAGCACACCTCACTCATCTTTACCATAATTTTCTTTTTGTTAAATTGGAGTTGCTGA